ATGAACAATACAGGGAACCCAGCAACAGCGAAAATTCAATAATTTCTGGATGTTTTGCAAAATTTCCCAAGAAATTTCCCTACCATTTGTCCACATTTCTAAGTTTTGGGAATTTAAGGATGAATGGAAAACTATCCTAGTGCTTCAAATTCCTAATGGTAGACATTTATTAAAAATAACAAGCCTTAATTGAGATAAAAACAGTCCAGTACATTCCAGCGGCAAAATGATGTTGTGTACCCAAACTGGTCATTACTTTAGAAATAGAAAACATGTACCATGTTTTCATTGAGTTTTTTACAATAACTGTCTAATTTCTTGCATGGGGATTGACTCATTTTTTATCATCAATAAGAGTGCACATGGATAAAATTTCAATTTATGCAAGTTGAACTTTCAGCTGTCAAACTGTCAACTTTTTAACCAATGAGATTTTATGGACTTTTTTAAGTGGCTCGTGGTTCCACAACCACTTTGACAATGTTATGATGCAATTTATCATCAATAAGAGGACAAACACATAAAAAACTGATGTCAATTTGTTAATAGAAACACGAGTGGAAATTTGGGAGAATGAGAAGTGCTGTGGGAGTTCTCCCAAACTTTCACAAGTGTTTCCATAACTCGATAGAAACACAGAGAACATGTCTTCTTTTTCGTTAAAAAAACACTGCAATGATAAAAAGGAAAACAACTTGTTAACTTTGATTATTATTCATTCAAGTCACCATCTGTCTTCTTATTGGCTTAAAGCCTATGGTTAATTCTGGGAAACAGTGCGACCTACACATTATTAACTAATCTGGTGGTACGTTAGTGAATAATCTGTAGGTTGTGCACGCAATGCATGATTTCCAAGAGCAATGTCAAGTTGACGGACACCGAAGTAAAAGCATGGCTTGTCGAAAATAAACTGTGCTAGGTGCAATAATGCATTTGTTGTTTAAATCATGCATTTTCTTTAAACAATGTATAATAAAACAATTATTAGATTTGGTTTTTGTGACATCCACAATAATCAAGGTCTCGGTTAGTGTTGTCAGCCTTAGCCTTCAGCTTCGGCTGATAACACTTATCTCGACCTTGATTATTGTGGATATCACAAAAGCCTCATCCAATAATTGTTTATTATAAAAATGGAAATTTTCTTTGCTCATCCAATCATTACGTCAACAGCTCATGCTAGTTCTGTGTTTCTATCGAGTTATGGAAACACAATTTTTAACCAATCTGCATGTGTATTTTCTAAGGACTGTTTTCTAATAAGCAATTAGATTATGAGCTCGAGATTTCTATTGCATGATAGCTGACGAGGGCGCAGCCCGAGTCAACTATCACACATTGAAATCGAGAGCGAATAATCTAAATGTTTTAGTAAAAATCTACTAGTCGTTCAAAACTTTATCTAAATCCTCTTCANACCTTGATTATTGTGGATATCACAAAAGCCTCATCCAATAATTGTTTATTATAAAAATGGAAATTATCTTTGCTCATGCAATCATTACGTCAACAGCTCATGCTAGTTCTGTGTTTCTATCGAGTTATGGAAACACGATTTTTAACCAATCTGCATGTGTATTTTCTAAGGATTGTTTTCTAATAAGCAATTTGATTATGAGCTCGAGATTTCTATTGCATGATAGCTGACGAGGGCATAGCCCGAGTCAACTATCACACATAGAAATCGAGAGCAAATAATCTAAACGTTTTAGTAAAAATCTACTAGTCGTTCAAAACTCTATCTAAATCCTCTTCACAGACACTTCAAAAATGCCAAGAAGCGGCCGTCATTTTGTGAACAAGAGCACACTGACACGCTACTCACTATCTCACTATGTATCACAGAATAGATAGAGTAGCGTAGCTATTCAGAGAACAGCATTCCTGATAGAACGCTAGTAGATATTTATACTAAAATCCATTAGAATATTATGCGCCTCTTTGGCATACAATGAACGGGTTATACGAATTCACTCTGTTAATAAAGCAACACAAATAAACAAACAGACTTTGCCTAATTGAAAGCGGTAGTGTAACAGCTCTCATAACCTGCTTTTGTTTGGTATTTTAAGCAGCTTCTATCGTTTCGTACACACAAGTGACGTTAAGAGTGACGACAATACACAACATAAGGAGCTACACCCGATAATTATTTCCGCCATTCTCGCTATCCGCC